AGATTTTCAGCTAATAAAATCAAAATAATAATCTTGACTAGCAATCAAAAAATCAAGCGAATTGAATAAATCATATAGAGTCATATAACCATAGCGTATAATAGTTTTAATTTGCGAGTTAATTGATTTAACACGGCTGGTTGCCTGTGCACTAGCAGTAAAATGATGAAAAGTATATGCCCTTGCCCAAGAATATCTGTTAGAATATAAAACTTTATTAAAGTATTGCGCTGCTTTTGGATAACTTTCTAATAATGCCTTAAACTAAATTTCAAATGTTTGTGAATCTAGTATGTTGTAAGTTTTATAAAATCTTTAATAAATGAATCCCAACTAGATCCTAATTTGTTTTTAAGTTTTTTTTATAAATTTTGGCTAATATGCCAAATGCAATAAAGATGCAAAGCCGAAAGCATAATATTTGAAATAGTGAGGTTTATAGCGAGATCAGCATCTGTCAAAATAGTCTTTGGACAAAGGCCATCAGTAGCTTTATTTAAAATTTCAAGTAACCAAGAGTATGATCTAGCTGTTTCATCATCTAATATTGTCTGTACAATAAGACGAGACCGATAAGTGTTATCTATAACAATAAATAGAGAGAGTGGTATATTATAAACGTTTGTTTTTGCAGTATTATCATGAAGAATAATATCATTGTAATGCATCCAAAGTTCCAGTTGATGGGGAGACATCCAAAAAAGATGCATTAATGCATTGGTATTTGTATCAAATCACCATTCTATGACCTATCTTGAATCCTCCAATTTCTTTGCAAGTAACATAGACAATAATTGGGACACATCATTATCTCCAAAAGAACCTGACTTCTTGAATTTTGAAATTGCATTATACAAATTATGATGATAAATTGGAACTTTGTGCTTTCTAAAAAGAAGATGATACTGAGCACTAGCATTAAGCTTTTTAACTAATGTATAGTATTCAATATCTTTTAGCATTTCATCAGTAAGCTTCTAATTTTTTGAAATGAACTGTATGATAGTTGCATCAGGTGTATAACTAGTATGAACATTTGTAAAGGTGGATATGTGGTATTTATTTAAACATATACTCTAATAAATATTAACTTTCTATTTACAATCAGTACGACATGATCCAGATTCCTCTGTCTTATATGATTTTTTTTCTGTTAATGGCTTTCCAGCATGATAACATAAAAATGATCTTGAAATTTCATGACCAGTTGTATCTTTTTCAACACGCTCCTTTTGAATTCCGAATCTATGTGAATAGGCAAAGGTCTCAATTACAACAAATGTTTTATCAACAGTTTGAAAGGCTTGCCCTAATAGTATAAATATTGTAAGATCTATTTTTTAATTATATTTAATAAACACATACTATAAACACTTACCCTCATAAAGCTCTAATGGTGTATCAAACTCACTCTCTGATTGCTTCTCAGATTTATTATATTCAATTTTGATATTCAAATTCGGGTCAATGCATCTTGATTCTATTTGAAAGCTACTATGATTTCTAACTAAACTAAAATAGCAAAAGCAAAAAAAATTAAATAATGCTAAGTAATACTACAACCTTTTAAGAAAACAATAACGAATGTATTAATTCAATTTATTGTATTGGTATTAGTAACAAGGAAAATAAAATATTGTTATTAAATGTTTCCCACAATCACTGACACCTCTTTTGATTCTATTCATTTCAAAATTTCTTGTTAATTTTTTTTATCAGTAATCTAACCTTCTCTTAACAATAAACATAAATATTGCCTTACTATTTCCATGTAATTTCTACTAAACTTTAGTATATTACTACATACAATATCATATAATATCTGCTTTCCTGCAAAGCATTGGTTGCACTAATGTATAACAAAGCCAAAAAAAAATAGTGATTCACACCTTTGTGTAATTTTAAGCACCCTTATTTAATTATTGTACCAGAAAAAAGGAACAGTCGCCTAATATCTGATTGTCTGATACGTTTTAATCACGAACACTTCAGATTATATAAATGAAGTAGTAGCTGTCTAATTCTATTTGTCTAGTAAGTTATATTAATAGTAGTTACTAATTTTATTATATTGCAGTTTCTTTAAATAACTTTATAATGAAAAACAATATACAAAAAAACTGCTTACTATTTATGTGATATTTACGAACACCTTTGAATTATTGCACCAAGAGCCGAATATATCAACTTTCTTGACAACTTCTAGTCATTTAGCGTTTTTATTAGTTTCACTAACAAACTATTCCTTCTAACAAAATAAAATACTGTATAAAAACTACTTACTCTTCACATAATATTCACAAGCACCTTTGAATTGTTATACAAGCTGGATATCTGCTCATTTGTATATTCTATATATTTTATAATTTTATTAGCTTCTCCAACAAACTATTCTCTTTATGTCTTTATGATGAAATAAAATACTCAAAATTACCTTATTTTCATATGATATTTGCAGACACCTTTGGGTTGTTACATTAAGCGAAAGAAGTAGTTGCAGGATATCTGCTTGTTTGGTATATCTTACATATTTGGTAATTTTATTAGTTTCATATTATCTAACTTTCTAACATGACAAACACAAAATTTAATCTACTTTTTAGTTAACGACTATACAAATACTGTGCTTTTATTGTAATACTACGTCAAAAAAAGTAAAATCATTTTAATTGTGGCCCCTATTTATTAATCAAATCAAATAAACAATGCAGTGCATCATGATTTAAACTTTACTCTGATGATTTGGGTCATGCAGCATATATATCTGTACAACTGTAAAAACTCTAATATTAGATCATTGTATGATGATCTATGATGATTAGATAATATATTTTTTAATTATAATATAATACTATGTAATTATATAATATCCTGCACCATAGTGCAGAGTGTACCAAAAATATTTAGCCTATTATTAAATCTAAAAAACTTTTTTGCTATCTGAATTATTTTTTTTATCTGGCTTCTGTTTTCAGCTATTTATATTGTATCATCTGTATATACAACAACTACTTGTTTTTATTTTTTCTTTACTAAATAGTTTAAACTATAATTAAATATAATTTTTATATTACTATATATCTTAGATCTGGGTCTTGAGAGTAATAGATTGTAAAAAATTCTTTAAACAAAAAATAAAATTACTTTTTCTTATTTAATATCTTCAGTTATTTTAAAATACTGTGTTGTATTTAGTTTAGTGATAATTTTAGACTGTTTATTTTTAAATAAAATTAATATAAATATTATTGTTATTTATAAAATCTTAAGCCTTTTTATTGTAATTTTAATTAGTATAGTTGACTTTCTATAAATACTTTCTCTATAAGTATACTTTATATATACTTATAAATACAAATTATTTGATCAGTCCAATTAATTAATATAATATTATATGTAGATTGCTTTTAATAAGTGTATATTTTATAAATATACTTTTCACAAACAATATATACTTATAAAGAGTTAACTATATAATTAGCTCAATTGTTTTGTATAATCTAATATAAATAAAATTCAAGTTGATCTTGATATAGTAAAAAGATTTGAAAATATTAAGTATTTTATACTATTATTTTATCTTTATTTAGTAGTTAAAAATTTTGTATATTTCTATTTTGAGAATATATAGGTTTATTTAAAGTTTTCTTAATTATATTAAAAAAATCTCAAATATTGCAAAACTATAAATTATATTAATATTAGCAAATTATAATATAAATTTATTTTAGGATATAGTAATTTAGAGTAGAGTTAAGTTATCACCCCAAATAGCAAGTCTAAAGTTCGAATTCTATTTATAATAAAATTCAGAAAATATACATATATTCTGACAACTATTTTTATTATATAGTTTAAATATTTATAATATGGTTGTGTTAATTTAATTAAAAGATTAGAAGTATTTGTATTATATAAAAATACTTGTATTATATAGTAAAATACAAACTAGTAATAGGTAATACAAACTTATAATAAGTTTTTTAACTATATATAAAAATTTGTATATATAAAAAGGTTATAGAAACCTATTTGAAAAGACTTATATAGAAGATAGTACAAGACTTTGACAAGACCACTGTTATAGAACAGTTTATTATTTTATTAGTTTATTATTTCGATATTGTATTTTATTATTTATTTTATTATTATTT